GACAGGGGGAGGTGTGGGTGAGGACAGGGGGAGGTGTGGGTGAGGACAGGGGGAGGTCTGAGTGAGGACAGGGGGAGGTCTGAGTGAGGACAGGGGGAGGTCTGAGTGAGGACAGGGGGAGGTGTGGGTGAGGACAGGGGGAGGTCTGAGTGAGGACAGGGGGAGGTGTGGGTGAGGACAGAGGGAGGTCTGGGTGAGGACAGGGGGAGGTGTGGGTGAGGACAGGGGGAGGTCTGGGTGAGGACAGGGGGAGGTCTGGGTGAGGACAGAGGGAGGTGTGGGTGAGGACAGAGGGAGGTCTGGGTGAGGACAGGGGGAGGTGTGGGTGAGGACAGGGGGAGGTGTGGGTGAGGACAGGGGGAGGTCTGGGTGAGGACAGGGGGAGGTCTGAGTGAGGACAGGGGGAGGTGTGGGTGAGGACAGGGGGAGGTCTGGGTGAGGACAGGGGGAGGTGTGGGTGAGGACAGGGGGAGGTCTGAGTGAGGACAGGGGGAGGTGTGGGTGAGGACAGAGGGAGGTCTGGGTGAGGACAGGGGGAGGTGTGGGTGAGGACAGGGGGAGGTCTGGGTGAGGACAGGGGGAGGTCTGGGTGAGGACAGGGGGAGGTCTGGGTGAGGACAGGGGGAGGTCTGGGTGAGGACAGAGGGAGGTCTGGGTGAGGACAGGGGGAGGTGTGGGTGAGGACAGGGGGAGGTGTGGGTGAGGACAGGGGGAGGTCTGAGTGAGGACAGAGGGAGGTCTGGGTGAGGACAGGGGGAGGTCTGAGTGAGGACAGGGGGAGGTCTGAGTGAGGACAGGGGGAGGTCTGGGGGAGGACAGAGGGAGGTGTGGGTGAGGACAGAGGGAGGTGTGGGTGAGGACAGGGGGAGGTGTGGGTGAGGACAGAGGGAGGTCTGGGTGAGGACAGGGGAGGTCTGGGTGAGGACAGGGGGAGGTGTGGGTGAGGACAGAGGGAGGTCTGAGTGAGGACAGGGGGAGGTGTGGGTGAGGACAGAGGGAGGTGTGGGTGAGGACAGGGGGAGGGTGGGTGAGGGGGGAGGACTGGGTGAGGACAGGGGGGTGTGGGTGAGGACAGGGGGAGGTGGGTGAGGACAGGGGGAGGTCTGAGTGAGGACAGGGGGAGGTCTGGGGAGGACAGGGGGAGGTGTGGGTGAGGACAGGGGGAGGTCTGAGTGAGGACAGGGGGAGGTCTGGGTGAGGACAGGGGGAGGTCTGAGTGAGGACAGGGGGAGGTCTGGGTGAGGACAGGGGGAGGTCTGAGTGAGGACAGGGGGAGGTCTGAGTGAGGACAGAGGGAGGTGTGGGTGAGGACAGAGGGAGGTCTGGGTGAGGACAGGGGGAGGTCTGAGTGAGGACAGAGGGAGGTGTGGGTGAGGACAGAGGGAGGTCTGGGTGAGGACAGAGGGAGGTCTGAGTGAGGACAGGGGGAGGTCTGAGTGAGGACAGAGGGAGGTCTGAGTGAGGACAGGGGGAGGTCTGAGTGAGGACAGAGGGAGGTCTGGGTAAGGACAGGGGGAGGTGTGGGTGAGGACAGGGGGAGGTCTGAGTGAGGACAGGGGGAGGTCTGAGTGAGGACAGGGGGAGGTCTGGGTAAGGACAGGGGGAGGTGTGGGTGAGGACAGGGGGAGGTCTGAGTGAGGACAGGGGGAGGTCTGAGTGAGGACAGGGGGAGGTGTGGGTGAGGACAGGGGGAGGTCTGAGTGAGGACAGAGGGAGGTGTGGGTGAGGACAGGGGGAGGTGTGGGTGAGGACAGGGGGAGGCTGAGTGAGGACAGGGGGAGGTGTGGGTGAGGACAGGGGGAGGTCTGAGTGAGGACAGGGGGAGGTGTGGGTGAGGACAGGGGGAGGTCTGAGTGAGGACAGGGGGAGGTGTGGGTGAGGACAGGGGGAGGTCTGAGTGAGGACAGGGGGAGGTGTGGGTGAGGACAGGGGGAGGTCTGAGTGAGGACAGAGGGAGGTGTGGGTGAGGACAGGGGGAGGTCTGAGTGAGGACAGGGGGAGGTGTGGGTGAGGACAGGGGGAGGTCTGAGTGAGGACAGGGGGAGGTGTGGGTGAGGACAGGGGGAGGTCTGAGTGAGGACAGGGGGAGGTGTGGGTGAGGACAGAGGGAGGTCTGAGTGAGGACAGGGGGAGGTGTGGGTGAGGACAGAGGGAGGTCTGAGTGAGGACAGGGGGAGGTGTGGGTGAGGACAGAGGGAGGTCTGAGTGAGGACAGGGGGGAGGTCTGAGTGAGGACAGAGGGAGGTGTGGGTGAGGACAGAGGGAGGTCTGGGTGAGGACAGAGGGAGGTCTGAGTGAGGACAGGGGGAGGTCTGAGTGAGGACAGAGGGAGGTCTGAGTGAGGACAGGGGGAGGTCTGAGTGAGGACAGAGGGAGGTCTGGGTAAGGACAGGGGGAGGTGTGGGTGAGGACAGGGGGAGGTCTGAGTGAGGACAGGGGGAGGTCTGAGTGAGGACAGGGGGAGGTCTGGGTAAGGACAGAGGGAGGTCTGAGGGAGGACAGGGGGAGGTGTGGGTGAGGACAGAGGGAGGTCTGAGTGAGGACAGGGGGAGGTCTGAGTGAGGACAGGGGGAGGTGTGGGTGAGGACAGGGGGAGGTCTGAGTGAGGACAGGGGGAGGTGTGGGTGAGGACAGGGGGAGGTCTGAGTGAGGACAGAGGGAGGTGTGGGTGAGGACAGGGGGAGGTGTGGGTGAGGACAGGGGGAGGTCTGAGTGAGGACAGGGGGAGGTGTGGGTGAGGACAGGGGGAGGTCTGAGTGAGGACAGGGGGAGGTGTGGGTGAGGACAGGGGGAGGTCTGAGTGAGGACAGGGGGAGGTGTGGGTGAGGACAGGGGGAGGTCTGAGTGAGGACAGGGGGAGGTGTGGGTGAGGACAGGGGGAGGTCTGAGTGAGGACAGAGGGAGGTGTGGGTGAGGACAGGGGGAGGTCTGAGTGAGGACAGGGGGAGGTGTGGGTGAGGACAGGGGGAGGTCTGAGTGAGGACAGGGGGAGGTGTGGGTGAGGACAGGGGGAGGTCTGAGTGAGGACAGGGGGAGGTGTGGGTGAGGACAGAGGGAGGTCTGAGTGAGGACAGGGGGAGGTGTGGGTGAGGACAGAGGGAGGTCTGAGTGAGGACAGGGGGAGTGTGGGTGAGGACAGAGGAGGTCTGAGTGAGGACAGAGGGAGGTCTGAGTGAGGACAGGGGGAGGTGTGGGTGAGGACAGGGGGAGGTGTGGGTGAGGACAGGGGGAGGTCTGAGTGAGGACAGAGGGAGGTGTGGGTGAGGACAGGGGGAGGTCTGAGTGAGGACAGGGGGAGGTGTGGGTGAGGACAGGGGGAGGTCTGAGTGAGGACAGGGGGAGGTGTGGGTGAGGACAGGGGGAGGTCTGAGTGAGGACAGGGGGAGGTCTGGGAAGGACAGGGGGAGGTCTGAGTGAGGACAGGGGGAGGTCTGAGTGAGGACGGGGGAGGTCTGAGTGAGGACAGAGGGAGGTGTGGGTGAGGACAGGGGGAGGTCTGAGGGTGAGGACTGAGTGAGACGGGGAGGTCTGAGGAGTGAGGACAGAGGGAGGTGTGGGTGAGGACAGGGGGAGGTCTGAGTGAGGACAGAGGGAGGTCTGAGTGAGGACAGAGGGAGGTCTGAGTGAGGACAGAGGGAGGTCTGAGTGAGGACAGGGGGAGGTCTGGGTGAGGACAGGGGGAGGTCTGAGTGAGGACAGGGGGAGGTCTGAGTGAGGACAGGGGAGGTCTGAGTGAGGACAGGGGGAGGTGTGGGTGAGGACAGGGGGAGGTCTGAGTGAGGACAGGGGAGGTCTGGGTGAGGACAGGGGGAGGTCTGAGTGAGGACAGAGGGAGGGTGTGGTGAGGACAGGGGAGGTGTGGGTGAGGACAGGGGGAGGTGTGGGTGAGGACAGGGGGAGGTCTGAGTGAGGACAGGGGGAGGTGTGGGTGAGGACAGGGGGAGGTCTGGGTGAGGACAGGGGGAGGTCTGGGTAAGGACAGAGGGAGGTCTGAGTGAGGACAGGGGGAGGTGTGGGTGAGGACAGAGGGAGGTGTGGGTGAGGACAGGGGGAGGTGTGGGTGAGGACAGGGGGAGGTCTGGGTGAGGACAGAGGGAGGTGTGAGTGAGGACAGGGGGAGGTCTGGGTAAGGACAGAGGGAGGTGTGAGTGAGGACAGGGGGAGGTTGGGTGAGGACAGAGGGAGGTCTGGGTGAGGACAGGGGGAGGTGTGAGTGAGGACAGGGGGAGGTCTGGGGGAGGACAGGGGGAGGTCTGGGTGAGGACAGAGGGAGGTGTGAGTGAGGACAGGGGGAGGTCTGGGTGAGGACAGAGGGAGGTCTGGGTGAGGACAGGGGGAGGTGTGGGTGAGGACAGAGGGAGGTGTGAGTGAGGACAGAGGGAGGTCTGGGTGAGGACAGGGGGAGGTCTGAGTGAGGACAGGGGGAGGTGTGGGTGAGGACAGAGGGAGGTCTGAGTGAGGACAGGGGGAGGTGTGGGTGAGGACAGAGGGAGGTCTGAGTGAGGACAGAGGGAGGTCTGAGTGAGGACAGAGGGAGGTCTGAGTGAGGACAGAGGGAGGTCTGGGTGAGGACAGGGGGAGGTGTGGGTGAGGACAGAGGGAGGTCTGGGTGAGGACAGGGGGAGGTCTGAGTGAGGACAGAGGGAGGTCTGAGTGAGGACAGAGGGAGGTCTGGGTGAGGACAGGGGGAGGTGTGGGTGAGGACAGAGGGAGGTCTGGGTGAGGACAGGGGGAGGTGTGGGTGAGGACAGGGGGAGGTGTGGGTGAGGACAGGGGGAGGTGTGAGTGAGGACAGGGGGAGGTCTGAGTGAGGACAGAGGGAGGTCTGAGTGAGGACAGAGGGAGGTCTGGGTGAGAGGAGGGGGAGGTGTGGGTGAGGACAGAGGGAGGTCTGGGTGAGGACAGGGGGAGGTGTGGGTGAGGACAGGGGGAGGTGTGGGTGAGGACAGGGGAGGTGTGGGTGAGGACAGGGGGAGGTGTGAGTGAGGACAGGGGGAGGTCTGGATGAGGACAGGGGGAGGTCTGAGTGAGGACAGGGGAGGTCTGGTGAGGACAGGGGGAGGTCTGGGTGAGGACAGGGGGAGGTGTGGGTGAGGACAGGGGGAGGTGTGGGTGAGGACAGAGGGAGGTCTGAGTGAGGACAGAGGGAGGTCTGAGTGAGGACAGGGGGAGGTCTGGGTGAGGACAGGGGGAGGTGTGGGTGAGGACAGAGGGAGGTCTGGGTGAGGACAGGGGGAGGTGTGGGTGAGGACAGGGGGAGGTGTGGGTGAGGACAGAGGGAGGTCTGAGTGAGGACAGGGGGAGGTCTGAGTGAGGACAGGGGGAGGTCTGAGTGAGGACAGGGGGAGGTCTGGGTGAGGACAGGGGGAGGTCTGGGTGAGGACAGAGGGAGGTCTGAGTGAGGACAGGGGGAGGTGTGGGTGAGGACAGAGGGAGGTCTGGGTGAGGACAGGGGGAGGTCTGGGGGAGGACAGGGGGAGGTCTGGGTGAGGACAGGGGGAGGTCTGGGTGAGGACAGGGGAGGTCTGGGTGAGGACAGGGGGAGGTCTGAGTGAGGACAGGGGGAGGTCTGGGTGAGGACAGGGGGAGGTCTGAGTGAGGACAGAGGGAGGTGTGGGTGAGGACAGAGGGAGGTCTGAGTGAGGACAGGGGGAGGTCTGAGTGAGGACAGAGGGAGGTGTGGGTGAGGACAGAGGGAGGTGTGAGTGAGGACAGAGGGAGGTCTGGGTGAGGACAGGGGGAGGTCTGAGTGAGGACAGGGGGAGGTGTGGGTGAGGACAGAGGGAGGTGTGAGTGAGGACAGAGGGAGGTCTGGGTGAGGACAGGGGGAGGTCTGAGTGAGGACAGGGGGAGGTCTGAGTGAGGACAGAGGGAGGTCTGAGTGAGGACAGGGGGAGGTGTGGGTGAGGACAGAGGGAGGTCTGAGTGAGGACAGGGGGAGGTGTGGGTGAGGACAGAGGGAGGTCTGAGTGAGGACAGAGGGAGGTCTGAGTGAGGACAGGGGGAGGTCTGAGTGAGGACAGGGGGAGGTGTGGGTGAGGACAGGGGGAGGTGTGGGTGAGGACAGAGGGAGGTGTGGGTGAGGACAGGGGGAGGTCTGAGTGAGGACAGGGGGAGGTCTGGGTAAGGACAGGGGGAGGTCTGAGTGAGGACAGGGGGAGGTGTGGGTGAGGACAGAGGGAGGTCTGAGTGAGGACAGGGGGAGGTCTGAGTGAGGACAGAGGGAGGTCTGAGTGAGGACAGAGGGAGGTCTGAGTGAGGACAGAGGGAGGTCTGAGTGAGGACAGGGGGAGGTCTGAGTGAGGACAGGGGGAGGTCTGAGTGAGGACAGGGGGAGGTCTGAGTGAGGACAGGGGGAGGTCTGGGTAAGGACAGAGGGAGGTCTGGGTGAGGACAGGGGGAGGTCTGAGTGAGGACAGGGGGAGGTGTGGGTGAGGACAGAGGGAGGTCTGAGTGAGGACAGGGGGAGGTGTGGGTGAGGACAGAGGGAGGTCTGAGTGAGGACAGAGGGAGGTCTGAGTGAGGACAGAGGGAGGTGTGGGTGAGGACAGGGGGAGGTCTGAGTGAGGACAGGGGGAGGTGTGGGTGAGGACAGAGGGAGGTCTGAGTGAGGACAGAGGGAGGTCTGAGTGAGGACAGGGGGAGGTCTGGGTGAGGACAGGGGGAGGTCTGGGTGAGGACAGAGGGAGGTGTGGGTGAGGACAGAGGGAGGTCTGGGTGAGGACAGGGGGAGGTGTGGGTGAGGACAGGGGGAGGTGTGGGTGAGGACAGGGGGAGGTCTGGGTGAGGACAGAGGGAGGTGTGGGTGAGGACAGGGGGAGGTCTGGGTGAGGACAGGGGGAGGTCTGGGTGAGGACAGGGGGAGGTCTGGGGGAGGACAGGGGGAGGTCTGAGTGAGGACAGGGGGAGGTGTGGGTGAGGACAGGGGGAGGTCTGGGTGAGGACAGGGGGAGGTCTGAGTGAGGACAGGGGGAGGTCTGAGTGAGGACAGAGGGAGGTCTGAGTGAGGACAGGGGGAGGTGTGGGTGAGGACAGAGGGAGGTCTGAGTGAGGACAGGGGGAGGTGTGGGTGAGGACAGAGGGAGGTCTGAGTGAGGACAGGGAGAGGTGTGGGTGAGGACAGGGGGAGGTGTGGGTGAGGACAGAGGGAGGTCTGGGTGAGGACAGGGGGAGGTCTGAGTGAGGACAGAGGGAGGTGTGGGTGAGGACAGGGGGAGGTGTGGGTGAGGACAGAGGGAGGTGTGGGTGAGGACAGGGGGAGGTCTGGGTGAGGACAGGGGGAGGTCTGAGTGAGGACAGAGGGAGGTCTGGGTGAGGACAGGGGGAGGTCTGAGTGAGGACAGGGGGAGGTCTGAGTGAGGACAGGGGGAGGTCTGGGTGAGGACAGGGGGAGGTCTGGGGGAGGACAGAGGGAGGTGTGGGTGAGGACAGAGGGAGGTGTGGGTGAGGACAGAGGGAGGTGTGGGTGAGGACAGAGGGAGGTCTGGGTGAGGACAGGGGGAGGTGTGGGTGAGGACAGGGGGAGGTGTGGGTGAGGACAGAGGGAGGTCTGAGTGAGGACAGAGGGAGGTGTGGGTGAGGACAGAGGGAGGTGTGGGTGAGGACAGAGGGAGGTCTGGGTGAGGACAGAGGGAGGTCTGAGTGAGGACAGGGGGAGGTCTGAGTGAGGACAGAGGGAGGTCTGAGTGAGGACAGGGGGAGGTCTGAGTGAGGACAGAGGGAGGTCTGGGTAAGGACAGGGGGAGGTGTGGGTGAGGACAGGGGGAGGTCTGAGTGAGGACAGGGGGAGGTCTGAGTGAGGACAGGGGGAGGTCTGGGTAAGGACAGAGGGAGGTCTGAGGGAGGACAGGGGGAGGGTGGGTGAGGACAGAGGGAGGTCTGAGTGAGGACAGAGGGAGGTCTGGGTGAGGACAGAGGGAGGTGTGGGTGAGGACAGGGGGAGGTGTGGGTGAGGACAGGGGGAGGTCTGAGTGAGGACAGGGGGAGGTGTGGGTGAGGACAGGGGGAGGTCTGAGTGAGGACAGGGGGAGGTGTGGGTGAGGACAGGGGGAGGTCTGAGTGAGGACAGGGGGAGGTGTGGGTGAGGACAGGGGGAGGTCTGAGTGAGGACAGGGGGAGGTGTGGGTGAGGACAGGGGGAGGTCTGAGTGAGGACAGAGGGAGGTGTGGGTGAGGACAGGGGGAGGTCTGAGTGAGGACAGGGGGAGGTGTGGGTGAGGACAGGGGGAGGTCTGAGTGAGGACAGGGGGAGGTGTGGGTGAGGACAGGGGGAGGTCTGAGTGAGGACAGGGGGAGGTGTGGGTGAGGACAGAGGGAGGTCTGAGTGAGGACAGGGGGAGGTGTGGGTGAGGACAGAGGGAGGTCTGAGTGAGGACAGGGGGAGGTGTGGGTGAGGACAGAGGGAGGTCTGAGTGAGGACAGAGGGAGGTCTGAGTGAGGACAGGGGGAGGTGTGGGTGAGGACAGGGGGAGGTGTGGGTGAGGACAGGGGGAGGTCTGAGTGAGGACAGAGGGAGGTGTGGGTGAGGACAGGGGGAGGTCTGAGTGAGGACAGGGGGAGGTGTGGGTGAGGACAGGGGGAGGTCTGAGTGAGGACAGGGGGAGGTGTGGGTGAGGACAGGGGGAGGTCTGAGTGAGGACAGGGGGAGGTCTGGGTAAGGACAGGGGGAGGTCTGAGTGAGGACAGGGGGAGGTGTGGGTGAGGACAGGGGGAGGTCTGAGTGAGGACAGAGGGAGGTGTGGGTGAGGACAGAGGGAGGTCTGAGTGAGGACAGAGGGAGGTCTGAGTGAGGACAGGGGGAGGTCTGGGTGAGGACAGGGGGAGGTGTGGGTGAGGACAGGGGGAGGTCTGAGTGAGGACAGAGGGAGGTCTGAGTGAGGACAGAGGGAGGTCTGAGTGAGGACAGAGGGAGGTGTGGGTGAGGACAGGGGGAGGTGTGGGTGAGGACAGGGGGAGGTCTGAGTGAGGACAGGGGGAGGTCTGAGTGAGGACAGAGGGAGGTCTGAGTGAGGACAGGGGGAGGTGTGGGTGAGGACAGGGGGAGGTTGAGTGAGGACAGAGGGAGGTGTGGGTGAGGACAGGGGGAGGTCTGGGTGAGGACAGGGGGAGGTCTGGGTGAGGACAGGGGGAGGTCTGGGTGAGGACAGGGGGAGGTCTGAGTGAGGACAGAGGGAGGTCTGGGTGAGGACAGGGGGAGGTGTGGGTGAGGACAGAGGGAGGTGTGAGTGAGGACAGGGGGAGGTCTGGGTGAGGACAGGGGGAGGTCTGAGTGAGGACAGGGGGAGGTCTGAGTGAGGACAGGGGGAGGTGTGGGTGAGGACAGGGGGAGGTCTGGGTAAGGACAGGGGGAGGTCTGGGGGAGGACAGAGGGAGGTGTGGGTGAGGACAGGGGGAGGTCTGAGTGAGGACAGAGGGAGGTCTGGGTGAGGACAGGGGGAGGTCTGAGTGAGGACAGGGGGAGGTGTGGGTGAGGACAGGGGGAGGTCTGAGTGAGGACAGAGGGAGGTCTGAGTGAGGACAGAGGGAGGTCTGAGTGAGGACAGAGGGAGGTCTGAGTGAGGACAGAGGGAGGTCTGAGTGAGGACAGGGGGAGGTGTGGGTGAGGACAGAGGGAGGTCTGGGTGAGGACAGGGGGAGGTCTGAGTGAGGACAGGGGGAGGTGTGGGTGAGGACAGGGGGAGGTCTGAGGGAGGAGAGAGGGAGGTGTGGGTGAGGACAGGGGGAGGTCTGAGTGAGGACAGGGGGAGGTCTGAGTGAGGACAGGGGGAGGTGTGGGTGAGGACAGGGGGAGGTCTGGGTGAGGACAGGGGGAGGTCTGGGTGAGGACAGAGGGAGGTCTGGGTGAGGACAGGGGGAGGTGTGGGTGAGGACAGAGGGAGGTCTGGGTGAGGACAGAGGGAGGTCTGGGTGAGGACAGGGGGAGGTGTGGGTGAGGACAGGGGGAGGTGTGAGTGAGGACAGAGGGAGGTCTGGGTGAGGACAGGGGGAGGTCTGAGTGAGGACAGAGGGAGGTCTGAGTGAGGACAGGGGAGGTCTGGGTGAGGACAGAGGGAGGTCTGAGTGAGGACAGGGGGAGGTCTGGGTGAGGACAGAGGGAGGTCTGGTGAGGACAGAGGGAGGTCTGGTGAGGACAGAGGGAGGTCTGAGTGAGGACAGGGGGAGGTCTGAGTGAGGACAGGGGGAGGTGTGGGGGAGACAGAGGGAGGTCTGAGTGAGGACAGGGGGAGGTGTGGGTGAGGACAGGGGGAGGTCTGGGGGAGGACAGGGGGAGTCTGAGTGAGGACAGGGGGAGGTGTGGGGAGGACAGGGGGAGGTCTGAGTGAGGACAGGGGGAGGTGTGGGTGAGGACAGAGGGAGGTCTGAGTGAGGACAGGGGGAGGTCTGAGTGAGGACAGAGGGAGGTCTGAGTGAGGACAGAGGGAGGTCTGAGTGAGGACAGAGGGAGGTCTGAGTGAGGACAGGGGGAGGTCTGAGTGAGGACAGGGGGAGGTCTGAGTGAGGACAGGGGGAGGTCTGAGTGAGGACAGGGGGAGGTGTGGGTGAGGACAGGGGGAGGGTGAGTGAGGACAGGGGGAGGTGTGGGTGAGGACAGGGGAGGTCTGGGTGAGGACAGAGGGAGGTCTGAGTGAGGACAGGGGGAGGTTGTGGGTGAGGACAGGGGGAGGTCTGAGTGAGGACAGGGGGAGGTCTGGGGAGGACAGGGGGAGGTCTGAGTGAGGACAGGGGGAGGTGTGGGTGAGGACAGGGGGAGGTCTGGGTGAGGACAGAGGGAGGTCTGGGTGAGGACAGGGGGAGGTCTGAGTGAGGACAGGGGGAGGTCAGGGGGAGGTCTGGTGAGGACAGGGGGAGGTCTGAGTGAGGACAGGGGGAGGTGTGGGTGAGGACAGGGGGAGGTCTGAGTGAGGACAGGGGGAGGTGTGGGTGAGGACAGGGGGAGGTGTGGGTGAGGACAGGGGGAGGTGTGGGTGAGGACAGGGGAGGTGTGAGTGAGGACAGGGGGAGGTGTGGGTGAGGACAGGGGGAGGTGTGGGTGAGGACAGGGGGAGGTGTGGGTGAGGACAGGGGGAGGTCTGAGTGAGGACAGGGGAGGTCTGAGTGAGGACAGGGGGAGGTCTGGGGAGGTGTGGGTGAGGACAGGGGGAGGTCTGAGTGAGGACAGGGGGAGGTGTGGGTGAGGACAGAGGGAGGTCTGGGGGAGGACAGGGGGAGGTCTGAGTGAGGACAGGGGGAGGTCTGGGGGAGGACAGGGGGAGGTCTGAGTGAGGACAGGGGGAGGTCTGAGTGAGGACAGGGGGAGGTGTGGGTGAGGACAGGGGGAGGTCTGAGTGAGGACAGGGGAGGTCTGGGGAGGACAGGGGAGGTGTGGGGAGGACAGGGGGAGGTCTGGGGTGAGGACAGGGGGAGTGGGTGAGGACGGGAGGTGTGGGTGAGGACAGGGGGAGGTTGGAGGACAGGGGGAGGTCTGGGGGACAGGGGAGGGTGGGGAGGAGGGGAGGTCTGGGTGAGGACAGGGGGTTGGGTGAGGACAGGGGTGGGAGGACGGGTTGGGGAGGACAGGGGGTGTGGGTGAGGACAGGGGGAGGTCTGGGGGGGGAGGACTGGGGAGGTGTGGGTGAGGACAGGGGGAGGTGTGAGTGAGGACAGGGGGAGGACAGGGGGAGGTCTGGGGGAGGTCTGGGTGAGGACAGGGGGAGGTGTGGGTGAGGACAGGGGGAGTGTGGGTGAGGGTGGGTGAGGTGCGGGTGAGGTGCGGGTGAGGTGCGGGTGAGGTGCGGGTGGGGTGCGGGTGAGGTGCGGGTGAGGTGCGGGTGAGGTGCGGGTGAGGTGCGGGTGAGGTGCGGGTGAGGTGCGGGTGAGGTGCGGGTGAGGTGCGGGTGAGGTGCGGGTGAGGTGCGGGTGAGGTGCGGGTGAGGTGCGGGTGAGGTGCGGGTGAGGTGCGGGTGAGGTGCGGGTGAGGTGCGGGTGAGGTGGGGTGGGGGTGAGGTAAGGGTGAGGGTGAGGTGTGGGTGAGGTGCGGGTGAGGTGCGGGTGAGGTGCGGGTGAGGTGTGGGTGAGGTGTGGGTGAGGTAAGGGTGAGGGTGAGGTGCGGGTGAGGTGCGGGTGAGGTGCGGGTGAGGTGAGGGTGAGGTGCGGGTGAGGTGCGGGTGAGGTGCGGGTGAGGTGCGGGTGAGGTGTGGGTGAGGTAAGGGTGAGGGTGAGGTGTGGGTGAGGTGCGGGTGAGGTGCGGGTGAGGTGCGGGTGAGGTGTGGGTGAGGTGTGGGTGAGGTAAGGGTGAGGGTGAGGTGCGGGTGAGGTGCGGGTGAGGTGCGGGTGAGGTGCGTACCTGAGAGTTGATGGTGAAGAGTTTGGCAGAGCAGGAGTCTTCTGGAGACAGAGACGAGGAGTTGGTGAAGACGTCCAGAGGACACGGGATCTGGAACTTCTTATAGATCACCTGAGAATAATAATAAGAATAAGAATAATAATAATAATGTATTTTAACATCATATTATTATATCATTAACATATTATAAAATATAACAATAATAATAATAATAATAATTATAATATATTTAACACGGGATCTGGAACTTCTTATTGATTATATAATTATAATATTCTCAGGTAATTATAATATATTTAGATATAATAGGATAATTATTATTATATAATTAAAAAATATATTAGCATAAAGTAATAATAATAATAATAATAATAATGTGTGAATGTGAGGCTTTGTAAACTCACAGCACAGAGGAAGAAGACCATACAGGACAGAGAGAAGCCACTGGTGTAGCCTAGGTACCCTGCACACAGGTACAAACATGTTTATGTCAGCACAGGTACAAACATGTTTATGTCAGCACAGGTACAAACATGTTTATGTTAGCACAGGTACCCTGCACACAGGTACAAACATGTTTATGTCAGCACAGGTACCCTGCACACAGGTACAAACATGTTTATGTCAGCACAGGTACAAACATGTTTATGTCAGCACAGGTACCCTGCACACAGGTACAAACATGTTTATGTTAGCTCAGGTACAAACATGTTTATGTTAGCACAGGTACCCTGCACACAGGTACAAACATGTTTATGTTAGCACAGGTACAAACATGTTTATGTTAGCACAGGTACAAACATGTTTATGTCAGCACAGGTACAAACATGTTTATGTTAGCACAGGTACAAACATGTTTATGTCAGCACAGGTACAAACATGTTTATGTCAGCACAGGTACAAACATGTTTATGTCAGCACAGGTACAAACATGTTTATGTTAGCACAGGTACAAACATGTTTATGTTAGCACAGGTACAAACATGTTTATGTTAGCACAGGTACAAACATGTTTATGTTAGCACAGGTACAAACATGTTTATGTTAGCACAGGTACAACATGTTTATGTCAGCACAGGTACAAACATGTTTATGTTAGCACAGGTACCCTGCACACAGGTACAAACATGTTTAGTTTAGAGCTGCATGAGTTCACACCAAAGCAGCTCTGTGTTCTTCATGGTCATGACACCAGTGAGAGCTATAGTCTGGATGTGTTCTTCATGGTCATGACACCAGTGAGAGCTAAAGTCTGGATGTGTTCTTCATGGTCATGGCACCAGTGAGAGCTAAAGTCTGGATGTGTTCTTCATGGTCATGACACCAGTGAGAGCTAAAGTCTGGATGTGTTCTTCATGGTCATGACACCAGTGAGAGCTATAGTCTGGATGTGTTCTTCATGGTCATGACACCAGTGAGAGCTAAAGTCTGGATGTGTTCTTCATGGTCATGACACCAGTGAGAGCTATAGTCTGGATGTGTTCTTCATGGTCATGACACCAGTGAGAGCTATAGTCTGGATGTGTTCTTCATGGTCATGACACCAGTGAGAGCTAAAGTCTGGATGTGTTCTTCATGGTCATGACACCAGTGATAGCTATAGTCTGGATGTGTTCTTCATGGTCATGACACCAGTGATAGCTATAGTCTGGATGTGTTCTTCATGGTCATGACACCAGTGAGAGCTAAAGTCTGGATGTGTTCTTCATGGTCATGACACCAGTGAGAGCTAAAGTCTGGATGTGTTCTTCATGGTCATGACACCAGTGAGAGCTATAGTCTGGATGTGTTCTTCATGGTCATGACACCAGTGAGAGCTAAAGTCTGGATGTGTTCTTCATGGTTTCAAGAGGTCTCAGCTGGTGCCTCACTCAGCAGCTGGTGCCTCACTCACCTGGTGCCTCACTCACCTGGTGCCTCACTCACCTGGTGCCTCACTCACCTGGTGCCTCACTCACCCAGGTGTTTCATCAGGGCCAGTGGGAGGATGATGCAGACGGTGACGATGATGATGAGGTAGTTCCCGTTCATGAACCAGTCACTGCAGAAAAACACTTTAAAGTCATTCAAGTCTTTGTTCAGAGACCAGCTGGAAGAAGCTGCTAGCATGTTAGCATGTTAGCATGTTAGCATGCTAGCGTATCCAGATGTCCTGCAGCCAACAATATCTTCTGCCAGAGGGAAGAAGCTGGAACATGGCTTTTCCAGCGGCCAGAAGATTCATTGATTATTCTAAGATCTGGATTTAAAGGTACTCTTTGGCAGGTAAGACCAGAGAGTTTTAATCAACAAGTGGAGAGGGTGGTTCTTTCCTAAAATTTGGGAAAAATCTTCCTGTATACCACAGCAGAGTGTCTCTCTGGTCTCTCTTGCTCTCTGGTCTCTCTGTGACCCATGGTACAGACCCATGGTACAGACCCATGGTACAGACCCATGGTACTTACTCTGAGGCAGAGGTTTGTCCTAGAAAAGTCTGAATGACCAGCGGCAGCTCGTACTTCACGATGAACAGATAACTGGACATACCTGCAACACAATCAGAGCAACACAATCAGAACAACACAATCAGAACAACACAATCAGAGCAACACAATCAGAACAACACAATCAGAACAACACAGACCTTTAAAAGTCTTTAAAGCTTCTGTCTGTAGTTTGCTCTGTCACTGGTTTAATAAAGTCACTGCAATCACACTTTCAGAACTGTGACTGACAGCCGCAAACTACTACAGCCACTAGTGACAACAGTAGGTGCAGCAGGAGCAGCAGCAGTAGTAGCAGTAGCAGCAGTAGCAGCAGTAGTAGCAGCAGTAGTAGCAGCAGCAGCAGCAGTAGCAGCAGCAGCAGCAGCAGCAGCAGCAGCAGTAGTAGCAGCAGTAGCAGTAGCAGTAGCAGCAGCAGTAGCAGCAGCAGCAGCAGTAGCAGCAGCAGCAGTAGCAGCAGCAGTAGCAGCAGTAGTAGTAGCAGCAGTAGCAGTAGTAGCAGCAGCAGTAGCAGCAGCAGCAGTAGCAGCAGTAGCAGCAGTAGCAGCAGCAGTAGCAGTAGTAGCAGCAGCAGTAGCAGCAGCAGCAGCAGCAGCAGTAGCAGCAGCAGCAGCAGCAGTAGCAGCAGTAGTAGTAGCAGCAGTAGCAGTAGTAGCAGTAGCAGTAGCAGTAGCAGCAGCAGTAGCAGCAGCAGCAGTAGCAGCAGCAGCAGCAGTAGTTGTAGCAGCAGCAGCAGTAGTAGCAGTAGCAGCAGTAGTAGCAGCAGCAGCAGCAGCAGTAGCAGTAGCAGCAGCAGCAGCAGCAGCAGCAGCAGTAGCAGCAGCAGCAGCAGCAGTAGCAGCAGCAGCAGCAGCAGTAGCAGCAGTAGTAGTAGCAGCAGTAGCAGCAGTAGCAGCAGTAGTAGCAGTAGCAGCAGCAGTAGCAGCAGCAGCAGTAGCAGCAGTAGTATAGTTTAGTTTAGTTATTACAGGTGATTTTAATGTACATGTTGATAATGTTGATGACAGAAATGCAAAGGAGCTGGCTTCTGTATTTGAGACCTTTGGTTTCATTCAGCACGTGAGTGGCCCCACCCACAGCAGGGGGCACACTCTTGACCTGCTAATTACAAAGGGGGTTAATGTATCAAATGTTAATGTAGTTGATGTTGCTTTGTCAGATCATTTCTGTGTATTTTTTGACATGTGTTTTGCTAGCAAACCACCAGCTGAATTTACAATTGTTAGAAGAAGACACATACATGAAAACACAAGTGAACTGTTCATGGGAATGCTAAATTTTGAGAAAACTCCATGCTCTACTGTTGATGAATTGTATAACTCTGTCACCACCAGTGTTCTGACTGTTCTGGACGCCATTGCTCCTGTGACGGTTAAAATAGTTACCAGTAAGAAAAAGGCCCCATGGACTAAGGCAGACTCGGTTAGGGCACAGAAGCAAGAGTGCCGGAGGGCCGAACGGAAGTGGCGAAAGTCCAATTTCCAGGGCGATTATGAAATCTTTAAAGATGAGTTGGGTGAATTTAACCGGGTTCTACGTAGAACAAGAGAAATGTATTTTTCTGACATTATTGGAGGTTGCAGTAACAATTTTCGTGTTATGTTTGCAACAGTTGGTAGATTAACGAACCCCCCTGTAAAGTTGCCCCTAGAATTTTCCTCTAAATCTAGGTGTAATGAGTTCGCACAGTTTTTTGATGACAAAGTACAAGGAATTAAAAACACTATCACCTCCACAGCACGTATAACAATGCAACAGCCAGAGAAGCTTGTTGAGCTAACTCACTTTGCACCTGTGGATACTGAAACTGTCAAAAAGATAATCATGAGTCTGAGCTCCTCCACATGTAGCCTGGATATATTGCCCTCTAAATTTCTGAAGTCCGTCCTGAGCAGTTTGTTACCTTCACTGACACAAATAGTAAACATGTCTCTGTCGTCAGGAACATTTCCTATGGCCCTAAAAACAGCAGTCATAAGACCTCTCCTAAAAAAGAGCAGTCTGGATCCTGCGGGACTTCAAAATTATCGCCCCATATCGAATCTACCATTCATTGGAAAAATTCTTGAAAAAGTGGCCTCCCAACAACTTACTGAATTTTTAACAATGAATAATTCTTTTGATATGTTCCAGTCTGGGTTTAGACCCCACCACAGCACTGAGACCGCTCTAGTGAAGGTAACAAACGACATTCGACTTCACACTGATGCAGGTAAAGTCACAGTTTTGGTCATGTTAGATCTTAGTGCCGCGTTCGACACTGTCGACCATGAGATCCTCATGCAGAGACTGGAGGACTGGGTTGGTGTCACTGGCACAGCCCTAGACTGGTTTAGGTCTTACCTGGAGGATAGGAAGTACTTTGTGGAGATTGGAGACTGCGTCTCAGATCATGTGGCCCTGACCTGTGGAGTACCACAGGGGTCGATCCTGGGACCTCTCCTATTTAATCTCTACATGCTGCCGTTAGGTCAGTTAATACAAAGAAACAAAGTGTCCTACCACAATTACGCCGACGACACTCAGATCTATGTCTCACTGACTGCAGGAGAACATGGACCACTGGATTTGCTCCTTCACTGTATCCAACAGATCAGTGAGTGGATGCAAAATAATTTCCTCCAGCTAAATGCAGACAAAACCAAAATCATTGTCTTTGGTCCCCAGAAACAAAGAGAGGGCGTCATTTGTCAACT